ACAAGGAATTCAACACCGCAGTGCGCGAGGCGGGTCGCTCTCGGGCCCACTACCTCCACCACTTCTCCTTCAAGACCCTCCACTTCCTGCTCACTGAGGCCCTGCAGCTGCTTGCGAGCCAGCGATCTCGCGGGTGCCGGCAGGTGTACAGGGGGGTGGTTGGCCTGCGCTTCCGGCCAGCGGGGCACGGAGCTACTGTTAGACTGGGGGGCTTTGCTTCTGCATCCCTCAAGAACACTGCTGCACAGCGATTTGGCAACGACACCTTCTTTGGTATCTGGACTTGCCTCGGGGCCCCGATCAGGGGTTACTCCTTTTTCCCTGAAGAGGAGGAGGTACTGATCCCCCCTTTTGAGACTTTCCAGGTGATCAATTCCAGCCGACCTGCCAAAGGTCCTGCACGCATCTATCTCCGAGCTCTGGGCAAACGCAGCACCTACAATTGCGAATATGTCAAAGGTGAGGAGCGCGCAAGGCCAGTCAGTCCTCCGAAAAGATGGACTTCCTGTATTTGGCAGGAGCTTTGGCAAATCCAAACCCCAAACCCCACCCCAGCCAAAGGATTCATACATAAATGATAAAAGACTGGAGCATAGCACATGGGGCTCACACCTGTGATACCAGCGCACAGCAGGTTGAGGCAACATGTGATTCCCAGGCAATAAAGGCGATGGGAGTTAGGAGAGGTTGGAGAGACAGACACATAATAGGTATGGAGGAGAGGTGGCCAGGGCCTTTGAAAGAACAGGCATATTTGGATCAGGCTGTTGTCCCAGCTGGAAGCTGGAAAAAGGAATTAATTTCTAGTCACAGTATTGACACCAGGGCATTTGTTGGCAGAGCTAAGTAAATGGGGAACGTGTACATGGCTTAGCAGGCAAAGGAGTTTTGCTGTGCAAGCCCTACTTCTTCAGTTCAGTCCCCAGAGACCATATAAAGATTGAAGGAGAGAACTGACTCCCCAGGACTGTCTCTGACCTCCACATACCCCATACCCTGGGAAGCACCCCTCCCCTTATCTCTCACACACTAGTAATAAATAGAATGAAGTTTAACAAAAGCAATTGAGTAAAACTCTCAGCCTTGAGAGCTGTAATTTTACCAGAGGGAATGGGAATTGTATGCAGGAGCCTATGCTGAGCAGGGCTGGGAATGAGATAGCAGGTGAGTGTGTGCCTCTAAGTTCCAGTCTGCCGGGGCCAGCCAACCTGTGGCAGGAGCAGGCCAGCTGTTCCTCCTCCATCCAAGCCAGAGGAAGAAAAACAAGGAAGCCTTTCTTAGCCACTGGTGGATTTTGGATTACTGCTCCTAGCTAAGTGAGACCTAGCTTTCATAATTAAGAGGCAGACAGTTGGCCCACACAGTGACCATTGCTGAAATGGGAGGAGGTCCAATGTAGCTCAGGTCCTACTTCAAATGGCATCATGAGCCAGCAGGAAGGCAGGCCAAGAACACAAACCAGCGCCTCCCTGTCTGGGACAGGGCATAGGAAAATGAGCTGGGAGTGTGGCAAGGAGGCAGTTACAGGCTAGAGAGCAGGAGCGGGACAGAAAGAGATGCTGGCTTACATGGTTGCTTCCCTTCTGTCCTCAGGGCTCAGGTCAAGTGAATGTGATCTAGGGAAGTCCTCCCTAAGGGTGCAGTTACAGAGAATCAGGGTTTGGTCATCAGAGCTCTGAGGGTCCTGGCCAATCAGAGAGCTACTGAAGCATTGATCTTTCTTTCCTTTCCTTCCTTCCTTCCTTCCTTCCTTCCTTCCTTCCTTCCTTCCTTCCTTTCCTTCCTCCCTCCCTCTCTCCCTCCCTCTCTCCCTCCTTCCTTCCTTTTTTTCTTCCTCTCTTTCTTTCATTCAGAAAAGAGGTGCATATCGGGGCCCTGCAAGTTGGATAGCTCAGGTAAGCAGTGAAGCTGTTTGAGCAGGCTGTCCCGGGGCTGGACCCTCACTAACTTCCCTCTTACTCTTATAAACCCACCTCTTTACCTAAGAAGGGAGTCCCTAGGGATGTGCATGTGTGTAGGTGGCTCTGCAGCCGCCTCCCTCTGTGCCTCTCAGAGGAGGGCCACTGCCAAGCCCTGTTTCAGGCTGCTGCTAGACTACAGGAGAGGCGGTTCCCTGCAGTGTTCTCCCTTGGGCAGACACCAAGTTTCCCAAAGTGTCCCTGTTACTGTCCTCAGGGCTGCTTCAGACATGCTTTCCAAGGACTGTACTCTAGTCTGGGCTCTGATGTAACTATTCTTTCCATCAGCCTCAGTTTCCTAGTTTGTAATAAGCAAGTAGGATAAAAAGACACCTGTATCTCTTTCAACTGTGTGTACTCTTGTACACCTACTGTGCCAGGGCCTGCCTGGGCCAACACTTATTTAGGTGGGAATAGGCCACTTCCAAAGAAGAATTACCTGCACCATCCCACCCCACTCCACCCTGCCATCTCCCAGCTACACTTCCTACTCTATCGCCAGCACTCTCTCCTTCCAGGATCTGTAACCAGTAGGCAGCAAAGATACTCAGCCTCTGTTCCTTCCACTTTCCCTGACATAATAGTACTAGGAGGTCCAGGCTTTTTATGCCATGAATCCTCAGCACAGTTCAATGACACTGGTACAGTTTATTATTTATTTTCCAGAATGGGCTTCTCTGTGATGCCCTGGTTGGTCTGGAACTCATTCTGTAGACCAGGCTGGCCTGGAACTCACAGAGATCCACCTGCCTCTGCCTGTGCCTCTTCCTCTGCCTCCCGAGTGCTGGGATTAAAGGCGTGTGCCACCTCACTCAACATCAGCCACTTTTATAGAGGACAGAAAGTAGCATCCAGTCCTTCACCACACAGCTCGTGAGGAGTCATGTCTATAGCCTGACTGCAGAGCTGAACTGTGAACTGCCCACCATGACAGTCCCTACCCTCTGCCACACAGCAGTCTACCAGTAATTCTGGAATGCTGTTCTCATTCCAGAGAATGAGACCAGAAACACAGTGCAGTGACTTGGTCAAGGTGGCAGTTTGACCAGAAGCTGGGTCTCCAACTTCAAACCAGACCTTTGGTTTTGTTTTTGAGACAGGGGAGTTTGCTTCGTAGCCCAGGTTGTCCAAGAACTCATGTGCAGTTCTAACCTAGCCAGGTGGCAGAACTTTCCAGGTAGCCATTCCAAGAGAATAGGCCATTCCCTTGCCTTAGTTAGCTTCCTGAGTGCTAGGATGCTGGCCAAGCAGACCACCGTATCCCGAGTGGGCCTCTACAATCAGGTGGTGCATCATTTGAGACACTGGGAAAGTTTAGCCCCTTTGGCTCCACATTCCCACTCATCACTACTTCGTCCAGGGTGTGGATGGAGGGGCCAGATTCAGCATCACTAGATCTCAGCTCTTTGCCCTCCAGGCTCATCCCCAGTGCAGTGTAGTGTCTCCTTTGTGTCAGCAGGTGGCAGGGGTTAGAGCTGATTGATCTCTGGATGTGGGACTATGGCCCTCACTGGTCTCTTATCCTCTTGTTTCGGCTCACTCTGCCAATCTCTGCCTTTCATCTTCATGTCCTCACACTGCTCCTAAATCTCTTCTCCTCCCATAGCCCCGGGCTCCATCTCTGCCTCCTGTTCTCTCCTGCTGCTGCTCTGGCTCCTTGTGCTGAGGGCCCTTCCAGAGAATCCAGGCCTCCTGTGACCTATCATATGTTGAACTGGCCCTGCCTGAGGAATGTTGGTCACCTGTGCGCTTTAAGTATAGCGGGATCCTGGTGAATCAGGGAACTCTGGGACCTTCCATGGCTTCCAAACTTGGTGATGGTGGAGACACAGAAGAGAATTTGGAGACTGAACCTGGTTCAGGGCTGTAGGAGTGGGACTGACTAGGACAGGCAGAGACTGACTTGGAGCCAGAAGACTTCAACTCATGGTGTGTGATGATGCAGGAGAGCACTTGGCCATGTAGGGACATGCCCGGGTCACTTAATTCTTCCCATGGCTACCTGGAAAGTTCTGCCACCTGGCTAGGTTAGAGTACTTATTGGTCCCTGAGCTATTATTGGTCAGACTGAGTACTATTGGTCAGACTGAGCTTCTTATGGGTAAGGATTGGGAAGAAGGCACAAAGAAAATGCCAGAAGCTGTGTGACAATAAGAAAGCAACAAATCCTATCAGCGGTGATCCCCACACTACCCCTACCTGGGCAACTCTTGCGCTCTGTAAATGTCGGTGTGTGAGACAGGGTGGCTGTGTCTAACTAACTGTAAGGATGGACAGCAGGGGAAATGACAGATAAAGTTTTAGGCCCTCTCTCAGGGTCCTGTGAAATTCCAGTCTTTTTTTTTTTTTTTTTTTTTTTTTTTTTTTTTTTTTTTTTCTGCTGTTGTTACCAGAAAGGTCATTTCTGGGCTGGTGAGATGGCTCAGCAAGTAAGGGTTTGGCTCATCATCAAACCTGATAACTTGAGTTTGATCCCTGGGTCTCACAAGGCAGAGGGAGAGAACCAACTATCCACATTGTTCTCTGACCTCCACAAATGTACTCTGGTGCATGAGCGTGCAGACACACACACACACACACACACACACACACACACACACACACACACCTAATTGTGATTTTTTAAAAAGATACAATTTTTGCATTGATCTGTGAGTACTGAAATTCCTATCTATAAAGACAAACCTGGATCCCCAACTTCTGGACCCTAAGGAGAAGACAGGGCATGGAGGAGGTTCTGGGCATACTCTCATTTATTATGGATTGAAACTCTGGGACAAAAATCTGCATTTCTTTCTGTTCTGGAAACAAACTAGACAGTATATTTCCATCCCCTAGAGCCTTAGCAGAGAAAAGCAAAGTGAGTATCTGTAACGGCAACTGCTAAGGAAGACAAGAAAATGTGTAGCTTTGCCTCTTTAATGAGTAACTTACACTCTAGCCAGGAGTAGTAGCACCTGCCGACACCTGCCTCTGGAGAGGCAGAGGCAGGTGGGTCTATGTGAATTCAAGGCCACCCTGGGCTACATAGCAAGTTCTAGTCAAAAGGGGGTACATAGTGAGACTCTGACTCAACAAAATAAAAATAACCTGAATCCTCCCAACTCAGTTATAATTCCAAGTGTAGACATGGGTGGTTATTATTCTGGAGCTCAGGCTGTTCTTGAACTTATGGCAGCCTCCTGTCTCAACCTCCATGTGCTGGGATTACAGGAGTGCACCAGCTTGCTCAACTGACATTGAGTCTTATTCTCCAAGTCTGTACCTTGACCTCAACCATATTGTAATTAAGGGAGAGGCAGGCTTTGGATCCCCCTCAGTTAGAGCTTGAAGATCACAAAGGCTGTTTGTGGATTGTGAGGTCAGAAGTGCTGGACCTGAAAAGCTGTTCTTGACTCTTAGCAGTAGTTTGGGGAGAGACTGGCTGGCCTATCTGAGTCCCAAAAAATCAGCTGGGTTTTGTCATTCCTGCCTGGTGGTGTTGAGGTGACCACAGTTCCCTAAGATCCAGTTCCTGGCCCTCACAGGGCTTGGACCAGTACCAGGAGGCTCATGACTAGAGCCATGCAGAAGAAGATGCCTAGGAAAAAGCGGTCCATCACTCGAGCCAGGCGCTTCCAGTCTTCATGGCAGCGCTGGGCAGCCCTGTGGCTGCGGAAGGTGCTGGCAATGGAAGCCACATGATGCAGAAGGGCTTCCTGATGGCATAGACACCGTGGCTCATGACAAGGCCCTGCTGGGAGACCAGCTGGAGGCTGGAGGCTGGGGGCTGATTCCAGTGGCCTGGACTGGCCACAGGGCTCCCCTCGTTCCCGCACACACAGGCCTCTGGCCAGGTGTTGCAGCAGGAGGATTCGAGCCCAGGCAGGAACTGGATGTGCACTAGGGCCACAGTAATGCAGATTCATGATGAGGATGGTAAGAGCTGTGGAGAACGTGACCATGGTCATGGTGGCCATGTAGTACTTCCCTGTGGGACAGAGAGCATTGTTGAGCCCCAAGCAGGAAATGAAGACAGTTGAGCTTCCCAGCTGCCTCATCATAAATAGGAAGAAGGCCAGCACCATTCAAACACAACGAGGAGAAGGATGTAGATAAGGTTAAGTTCTCCCCTCTTCTCATTCCTATTAGGGCTTTGATGATATCTGCTACCTAATTATTTTCCCCACTGGAGGGTCAGATTATGGGTGGGAATAGGTACTGATCCTTTCTGTACATCTGGAATAAGCTATTGGTTACTCACGGGTTCATAGTGAGGCTCCTGTGAGTGAACAAATGTCAAGTGCACAGGAAAATTGCCAGGCGCACAGGCATCACTCACTACAGTTCGTTTATTATGACATTCGGGACCAGACCTTCCTCCATCAAGGCTCCTTTGCGCCTCTAACGATGAGGGGCTGTTCTCTCAGACAGGTCTAACCTTTGGCTCCCTCTCACCTGCAGCTGTCACTTTGCTGACCCAGTGTCCATTCCCCCATGCTCTCAGGCTCACCGATGAGTGGCACACTCTCTGCAGGCGGCATGCTCTCTGCCAGGATCAGCTGAAATACGGTGAGCGCCAGGAGCACGGTGACACCCAGAGACACCTTTTCCCCAGAGTCAGCGGGCAGGTGGAAGGCCAGTGGCGCCAGCAAGGAGATGAACACACAGGGCAGCAGCAGGTTGCAAACGTAGGCGGCAGCACGGCGTCGCAGAAGCAGCGTGAAGGTCACATCCGGGTAGGGCTCCGAGCAACAGCCGTAGGTGAGCACACGCCTGCGCGCCGGCATGCCCAGCACGCGCCACTCAACGTTCTCCACGAAGTCAGCCAGACTGGCAGACGATCCTCGGGGCCGCACGTCCAGCTGGTGCCCACCGTGAGTCCATGAGCCGAAGGTCAGGCCGCAGCGCTGCGCGTCGAACGGGAAGGCAGACACGTCCACGCGGCACGAGCTGCGTGTTATGGCTGGGGGGGCCCACCGCCCGGCGCCACCGTGCCGAACAACCACATTGGTGCTGGCTGAGGCTGGTGGCTGGGTATCTGCCCTGTGAATAGGCAGGACAGGATTCACCGGGGCCCATGGACAAGGTGGATCTATTGTCACTATGGTGGATCTATTGTCACTGGTTGGGCTTTAGTGACCAGGGCTGCACTGTTAGACTCACTTCAATCTTTGACAGTCTAGAGAAGGCAACACCTGTGGGCTTGGAGGGGCCAGGAGCAGAGTATAAAAAGCCTCTGCAAAACCCAGAGGTAGAATTGAGCCTCACACTGTCCTAGGGAGTCATTTGTAGAATTCATTAGGGGGACCCAGAAAGATACACAATGCTGTGTTGGCTGGGAGATGAAAAGCACCTAAAGGTGGCATAAAAGAGTACCCCCAAGGACTAGACCATAGGCTGGTGAGATCTCCAGTGGTTTCTGAGCTTGGAAGGGTAGAGTTGCCACATAGCAGCACTTGGACCCAAGACAGTTCTCTTTGAGAGCTATAGCTGCCTTGGACCACATAGCTGGTTCCCTGCAGACATCCAGCATGAGTTGACCTGAGACAACTGAAAATTCCATGGAGTGGCAGAGCTTCTTAGAGGGGCCCTGGCGCAAGTTTCCAAGGCATCTTAGCAACTCTATTAGGAGTTGGGAGGGAACCCAGAGCATGTCAAGGGCAGATGGGCAACTCTAAAGAGAAGTGGGGCAGACAGGCCGTACTTGTTGTAGAGTACGATGTCTGGTCGCCACACTAGACTGCTGGGAATGCGGATTGCATCCAAGTCACCATAGGCTTTGGGGTCCCAGTGTAAGTAGGCATCTGTCCACTCCTGCCGGATCCACAGGTACAAGGTCAGCACCTGGTTCCGTTCATCCTAGCAAGGGCAGGCAATGGACATGTATATATACACACACTGTCTCCTTCATGCACACTCACAGGGCTCTCTGGTCAGTACCCACAAACCCAGCTTGCTCAGCCAGCCCAGTTCCCAAAAAGGCTTGAATTTGTGTGCCCTTGGTAGGCTCTTAAGTCTCCATTTCATCAGTTAATCCCTCCAATAATTCCTGCTTGGGGAGGTGGGAGTTCAATAAATTCTAGTGTGTAAAGTCTTGGGTGACCAATGGGTACACAGAAATTAACGGCTATTATCATTATTAACATTGACGCATAGGAAAGGGATAACTAGGAGATGGCCCTTCTTCCCTTGATCTGTACCACTACCACATCATACCATATCGATGATCTGAGACAATGTCACCTCCAGGGTCACATTGAGAGTCTGGTCTGTGTCTGCCACAGGTCTCAGGGCACTTGTATAGTTGGCAAACAGGTCACGAAACAGCTTGTGAGCCAGTCTCCCCTCTGCTCCCAGGCACTCTGGAGGATGAATGAGAATGATGGTCCACCTTTGTAGTTCAGGGGCCTCTGTTTGCATCCTCCATGCCCAACTTGGGGCCTCATCACCTGGTTCCATGGGCTCACATGCTTTTGGAGGTGGTAGTGTGTGTGACTCATGTGTGCTCAGATGTATAGAAGTCAGAGGAGGGCATTAGATATCTGCCTGCCACTTTCTACCTTATTCTCGAGACAGGTCTCTCACTGGACTTGCAACTGGCCCCTTTTCAGTAATTCTGGCTCAGGTTCTAGGTGTTTGTGGCCACACCTGGCTTCTCACATAGTTACTGCCCACCACCGTCACTCCATCTCATCAGGAAGGTTTCTTACTCTTCAACACCCCCCCCCTTGTATTCCCCCTGATAGCTTGTTCTCAGCAGGCACTCAAGAGAAAGGTGGAGATAGGTGGGGGTTTGGGGTGGACAGGAATTACAAGTGTCAAAAGAGGACTGGTTCCTACCTGCAGGAATAAAGAGCAGGAGTAGAAATCCCAGGCCGAGGTGGTGGCTCTTGGTCCCCATGGTCCTACCACAGCCACAGGGTGGGCAACATTTCAGGACAGATGTAGGACAACGGTCCAGCTGGCAGGGATGATATGTACAGTACCTAGAAATCAGAAATTAAGGTACTTACCCTAAATTCTATGCCTGGCCCCTGGCATCTGCTGTTTTTCCTCTCTGCTGTTCTACCCTTAATTCTATGCCTGGCCCCTGGCATCTGCTGTTTTTCCTCTCTGCTGTTCTCAGCTTCTCTGGCCTCAGCTGTACTTCTCTCTGTCTCAATTTGCATCTTCCTCTGTAATGGTCTTGGTCTCTGCCTCTTAATCTCCTTTCTTTCCACTCTCTTTTCTCCTTTTACATGCCCTCCCACCCCCATCCATCCCCTGTACCTGGGCTCTGAGCTAGCCTGCTGCTTTCAGCAGAACAGAGCCAAGAACTTTATCAGCACTAAGGGGTCTGAGGCACAGGAAAGCAGCCCTTCTTCATTGACTTCATTGTTTTATTAGCTTAATTGCAGAGCTGGCATATCGGTGTCCATGGGAACAGAGCAACTGAAACTGACACTCTAGAATGCTGGGCCCTAAATTATTCAAATTCTTCGAATCAGCATGAAGGCTCATCGTGGGGGTTGGGAAGTTTAGAGATATTAGGATCTGAAGGTGCAAAATTTGAGGCTTTGCAGGTATGTGGGACTGGGGTCTGAGGGTGAGAACTGTGTGTCCTAGGCTCAGCTACATTCATGGCTTGAATTCTGGAGGCTCCCTTTAGACCAGCAGCTTTCCTCCCAGTGAAGGACTGAACACCTTAGACTCAGGTCAGGTGTTTAGTGCCAGTAAACTGACTGCCCTCCTCATGGTCGCGGAGTCTTAGACCACTTCAGATGGTCCTGTGGAGCAGGAATGCAGTGTATACCATTTCCTCAGTCCCTATAGTCATTCCAGGCCAATACTTAGTTTTCCCAGTGTCTAATACAGCAGGTGGGAGGGGCTGGTTAGGGTTATGGTTAAGGATTAGAGGCTAAGGGTTAGTAAGGTCATGCAGTCAAAAAGAAGGCATATATTTCAGAATCCTGTGTATTGGGAGATGACATTGAACTTCTTTCAGCTTCCACCTCCCAAATATTTGCATTACTAGTTTATGTGCTGACCTTGAAAACCCAATGTAGTCAAGGGTTCAGGACTCTCCTGACTCCACCTCCCAAGTGCTGGGATATAGGCATATACCATCATGCTTTTTCTGCAGTGCTGGGGACTAAACTCATGCATGCTAGGCAAGCACTCTAACAAACTGAACTGCAAAGCAACCTTCCTTTTTTACTCATAGAAATGCTTTTTGGAACCTCAGCTCACACCTGTTTAATCCAGAAAGCCCCATTCCTGTCTTCTTTCTCCAAGCCCTCAGAGAAGGCCGAACAAAGGAAAGGCACCAAAAAGCCCACTTCTACATTCTTGGCGGCTCCTCCCCTCAAAATACCAGCAGCTCAAGTTCCTGGTGAGGCATTCTAGCTTTTGACCATACTTGGGCACAACGCCAGCTTGTGGCAGACATGTCATCACCCCAGATCATCACTCCTCACCTACAGGCTGTATAAAGCTGCCTGCTTTGGTTCCAGGGTGCAACTTCTCCTGCCTTGATTTCTGGAGAACTCACTCGGGAATTGCTTTGCTCAAACCTGTTCTTTTACTTTTTCAATTTAACTTCATCTGGCTTGCTGTATCAGTGGAGAAACTATTATCAGGGTACAGAAAACCTATTAATAGCATTTGTCCTAAGAGCAAGTATTTCCCATACCAATAATCTTCAATGCTGCTAAAACCACTAGCCATTTCTGTAGCATTCGTTTTGAAAAACACCTCTAGCACAAGGAAAGCAAGCATTCTGTCAGAAGCTCCCAGTTGTCGAGGGAGGGGATTACCAGATGACTAATCCCTTGCCTTGGGGGTCCAAACTGAGGACTCCCGGCAAGGTAGACACCTTGTTCTTTTATCCTCCAATTCTGTGAATTTGCTGGAATTTGCTCTTGCCTCAGGCCAACAAGAAAGGAGTGACTGACTCAAGGTTTAACAATATGCAGAACAGAGCAGAAAGCTCTGAATAGAAAATATATTCAGTGGAATAATTTGAACTCAGAATCTATGTGCATAAATTTGTATTAGTAACTTCCTTGTCCCTAAATCTGCTCTTACAAAAAAAAACCCTTTGGGCTGAGATGTAGCTAAAAGGTAGGGACCTTGCCTATATCATGCAAAGACCCTGGGTTCAATTCCCACCACTGCAAGGAAAAAAAAAAAGTGTGGACTCCTTTGAATCTCAGTTCAGCACTAACTGTTCAAACCTTTGACAACTTTTGGAGTTGGCTCTTGCCTTCCTCCTGAGGCAGGATCCTCCAGTACCTGCTACCTTTTCTAGCCTAGATAATAAATTGTATACAGGTAAAAAGTTCTCAAAGAATTTTTAAAGAGTGCTGCCAGGGACAACAGAATGCACTCACATGCAGGCAAAACACTATATACATAAAAAATAAAATCTTAAAAAAGTACTGGGATTACAGATGTCTGCTAACAAGTCTGTTTTTTGTTGATTGATTTATTTCGAGACGGGGTTTCTCTGTGTAGCTTTGGAGTCTATCCTGGCACTCGCTCTGTAGACTAGGCTGGCCTCCAACTCACAGAGATCTGCCTGCCTCTGCTTCCTGAGTGCTGACAAGTCTGGGTTTTTATGTGGATTCTGAACTTGGATTGGCAGGCTTGTGTGGCTAGTGCTTTGACAGGCTGAACTAACTCCTTAGTCCTCTGTTCTCTTTAATTTAACATGTTCCCATTTAGATTAGGAGTGTCAGATTCCTCCAACACATAGAGAAAGTCGATACCACCAAGAATATTATAAACATCTCATTTTATTTTTTTAAGAAAGTAGCTTCAGAAAGAGGAAAATAATCTAGATCATTTATATATATATATATATTTTTAATAAAAACCTTTACATAATCTTCATGCATAAAGACCCAGGGGTGGCCATATTATCTGTGACAGCCCCAAGATCAGCTGTCTCAGGCCATAGCCTGGGACTCCCCACAGCCAGCAGCAATGTGGTGAAGGCCTTCTACCTGTCCCTAGGGCCCAGCCAGGCCTGTCTTAGTGACAGTTTTACCTTCTGAGAATGTGGGTGAAAGGTGGGAAATGCTTGGTTAGATGGAAAGGCTGAGAGGAACACCTTTCACATTGTTTATCCAAACTCCTCTGGCAGATCCAGGAAAATGACTGATAAATCCAGGGCCATAGCAATTCAGAGGCTTCCCAGAGACACATTCTCTGTGGTCTGGGCCACTGCACATGATAATAGGGCAGGTATAGTGTCACAGGATATACAAGGCATGAAGAAAAGAGCCTTGAAGATCTCTGCTTCCATGGCAGACAGCCCCTTCTATCTTAAACATGTCAAAGAACAAGGTCCAACCTTCTTCACTCCCAAACCCAGTAAATCAAGAACTCTTCAGTGACAAATGTGTTAGGGGCAGACATTCAGGCATCTATCAGACATTTGTTTCGTCACCTGTCTCGCTCCTTTCAAGAAGAGCTGCAGTGGTTGAAGTTAGGCCTTGGCATGGGGTGTGTGCCATAAGACTCAGAACTTTGGGTGTGGAAAAGAATTCCCTGTTTTTTGGGAGGTTCTGCCAAAGAGGTTTTATTGACCATTTTTCAAAAGAAAAAGAAACTGAATGGTCTTCAAGTTGGTAAGTGGAGACTTGTTTGTTTTTTTTTTTTTTTTTTGCTTCCAAAAGCCCTTGTACGGTATGTTCAGTATTAGGAAAAACCCTGAACAACTAGAAGATGCTGCACAGGGCAGCAGAAAGGGAGGGAGGATTCCACATCAACCCAGAGACTGGCGAACAGTGTCAATTCTAACAATGCTAGGGACTGTGTGTAGTGAGTGTGAAAGGGCATGAATGTGATGGCAAGAGCTGGGATCACTGGCTCCCAACAGTCAGTTCTCGAAGGTAGGACTGTGTGAGGCCACGGAGTTCCTCCAAGGCATAGTCCTCAGGCATGGGGAGCCTGCCAATGTGGGGAGCCAACAGACGCAAAGGGACTCGTTGAGGATCTAGTGTTGCATTGGAGGTGGCATCAGGAGCATGCTGCAGGCTCAGTACTACCCGAAGCAAGTTGGCAACACGCTTGGCCATATCTAGAGGGAAAAATCACAGTGAGTGCTGACGCCACAGTGTGGGTGCCATAATCATAAAGACAGCAAGTAAGCCACAAGCAAGTAGAGCCCACATGCTTACCTGACTGAGCCAGGCGGTCCTTGGCATTGTAACATGGAATCTGCTCTATCCGGTTGCATAGTGAGGTCACTTTGGTGTGTAAGTGCTCTAGTTCATAACCTGAGCAATCCACCTGCAGGGAAACAAGACCAGTAAGGATAAAAGAAACTTTTACCTCAGTCCACCCACAGATTACACAAAATCCCAATGACAACTGACAGGAGGGAGGAGAAAAACCAACAAGCTTGTAGCAGCACCTGTGTTACCGCTATGTCATCTAGTTGCTGAAGACAAGAGAAATTATACTTAGCCTTGGGCTGGACAGGTCTTGAGATCTTGACTCACAAAACACATCATTTTGACAAAGCATCAAAAACCTTTAGGGTAAAACTGGTTCAGAGAAACTAAGAGGTGGTATTCAAACCATCATTTACTTTAATGTCCTTATTCTAAGTTCATATCCCTTACTAAAGCAGTGCAGGACCTCCTCAATCTATACACTCTCCTGATCCACCCCTATTGTTCTAATGATAGTCAATGCTAGCCCAATATACCAATCTTCCAGTTCCGGGGCATGGCTTTTGCTGTAGTGTGGGCCACCATTACTTCTCACCTCAAACTACTTAGGAGCTTAGCCATACTACTGTTAGTGGTACCCTCTACATCCAATTTGTGAGCATTTTATAACCATTTGGTTTTTGAGATCTAGTCTTGATATGTAGCTCCAGCTGGCCTGGCTGGAACTCATTGTGTATTACAGGCTGGTCCCCAACTTTCCACTATTCTCCTGCTTCAGCCT